AAAATTCCATAACACAAGTGCTTAACGTGGGTTAAAAATGTACACACAAAGAATGTTTTACCCAAGTCATTCACTGATCGTGAAACCCCATCAATCACATACCCTATACGCAGGCTGTAGCAACCTCTGAAAATTTGCAATTAAGAGTTTCCCATCGACCAATCCTTTTCACAACAATATAAAATATATCTTTTGCGAGTGATTTCCTGGCGTAAAAAAATTTTTTTGTTGAAGCAAAATCCTCAGACAAAACAGGGTATTGTGACTTGGGTAAACAATATGGGGTAACCGTTCAGATCTTAACGCAGAAGTCTAGATATGCTTAATACATTCAAGAAATTCTGGCTCAGTAGAGAAGTAGCAATACTCATCATTTAACTTTAAGCATAGCCTGCAGTTAATGTCAGCAAAGGCAAAGCATCCATCAACTTTTTCCAACAAGCCATTAGCTTTTATGAACAATTTAATACGTTTCTGTGTCAAGTCAAGTCGTATTTTCAATTTTTTTGAGGCTTTTATTGCTTTGTATACTTGCGTGCGGTGACGCCAAGTTGCAAAACGGACGATAATTTGGCGGTATCTTTTACCGGTGACCGGATCTTCTGTCACAGAGCCAATACGGTGGGCTCGGTCTATCGACATATCAGGGATATTCAGCTTCAATTCGTTTTTAAAGATATCTTTAATCTTCTCGAAACATTCCTGGCCAGACTCTCCATCATTTTCCCCACACAATTCAACACCATTAATTCTTAAACACAGCCTCCTGTGATATTGCTCGTTTTCATCGGTTCTAAGCTCAAGTTTCTCGATTCTTTCACTTGCTGCGTCAATTTCACAATTATTTTTAGACGCTCGTTTCTCTAAACCCTCGATCCGCTGTTCGTACTTCTCCATTAGAACCACTTTGTCCTCCAGCATTTCGATCTTCAATCGCTGTTGATTAATAATGTCTTTCAAATCTCTTACATCATCTTTAGTGGCCAAACTAGCCAATTTGCTGTCCAGAATTTCTGAAATTGCCTGAAGCATTTGCTTATTGGATTTCTCTACCGGATCCTTCAACTCCTCGACAGGGCCTAAGCGTTCTTGGCACGGCCTGCATGTTTCTCGTTAGAATGCGTTTTTCTTGACATTTTCTCTGCTCGGCGTGTTAGCATTTCATCTCGGCCATTCCAACCCTATATGACATTCCTTTTTTTAAAGTTTATGGAGCGCCACTGTCCCCACTGCAACTGGAGTTTCTCACAGCTGCGTGTAGCACGTCATCCTCCCCCCAAAAAAATGCTTGGACCATTTTATTATTTTTGAAATATCATTAGCATATTTTCTCTTTGTCAAAGTAATAAAGCAAGTACTTTTGGAATCTCAAAAGAAACTTTGTTGACATCAAGCGATGAGGACAGCAGTTCATCTTCTACTAGCAGCAGCAGCTCATTAAATGAATCACCTGCTGATACAGACTCATCTGATACTGAGTTTAGGTAATCTAGCATTTCTGCATACGGCTAACTATGATTTCTGCAAACTTTAAGAGACTCAATGGCTAGTCTACATCCCTCACAATCAGTGTTGTACACCTGGGGGGAGGTGAGGGGGTTGTTCCAAAACAATGGGAAAATGTGACACATCCTATCAAAACAATAGAATTGACCCAGACAATCATGTCATGTCCTGTCACTCCCGTGGCCCTCTGGCCGTTGGGGCACTTGGATGAGTTCACAGTCTTCCTCCACCTTCCGCGATCCCTTGCTACCCTCATGCACGACACCACGCTCTTCCCGGTCCAATTGGCGATGTCGCTCAGCCACGTGTTCCTGGGTCGCCCTCTGCCTCTGCTACTTTCTACCGCTCCGTGCATTATCTCATGAGCTAGAGTTTCATTCTGTCTAGTGATGTGGCCAAACCATTGCAATTTGCGTCTTCTCGCCGTCACCAGAAGTGGTTCGTAGTTGCCAATTAGTTGCCTTATTCTTTGTTCCACTTCCACATTCGTGATTTTCTGCTTCCATGTTATCCCAAGCACTCTCCTGAAGCAGCGAAGTTCAAAGGCGTAGATTCTTTTCTCCAAACATTTGTTGTAGGTCCATGATTCACATCCGTATAAGGCAATCGATGTTACCAGGGATTTCAACAAGTTTATCTTGATCGCGGTAGAAATTCCATTCGAATTCCATAGTCTGTTCAATTTTGCAAGCTGGTTGGTAGCAATTGCTAGCCTCTTCTTGATTTTGTGCTCTGAAGTAACATCTTCGTTCAATGTCGAACCGAGGTACTGGAAAGTCTTCACTTCCTCCAGCTCTGTTCCGTCAACCTTGATTATGGTGCCATTGGCTACTTCAGCTGCAATCCTAGAAGTCACCAGTGTTTTGCTTTTTTCAGCGCTGATTTCCATCCCATACTTTCTTGCTGTTGTGTCCAGTCTTTTGGTGAGCTCTTCCAGCTCCTCCTTAGTACCAGCAATGAGGTCAATGTCGTCTGCAAACCGCAGATTTGTTATCTGTCTTCCAGAGACCCTTACTGTTCCCGAGTAGTTGTCAAGCGCATCTGTCATAATTTGTTCCAGAAAGATATTGAACAAGCACGGGGACAGAATGCACCCTTGACGCACACCGACTGTCGTCTGAAACCACTCCATGGTACCATTACTACCTGTCAGCACAGCGTTACTATTGTCATTGTACAGTGATTCTATCACATTGACCAGTCCAGCACTGACATTGTACTTCTTCATCACTAGCCAAAGTGCTTTCCTCCACACTCTATCGAATGCTTTTTAAAGTCGATGAAGTTGTGGTGCATCTCCATCTGGTGGTCACGGTATTTTTCTCCAAGGATTCTCACGCTTACAATCTGTTCCACAGTGCTCCGCCCACTCCTGAACCCAGCTTGCTCCTCAGCCAGTATCTCCTCAGCCTTTGTCTTCAACCGGTTATTGATTATCTTCAGTAAGACTTTACTTGGATGGCTGATGAGACTAATCGTTCTATAGTTGGTACATTTCTTCAGATCCCCCTTCTTAGCAAGTGGCAGAATTAGTGATTTGGTCCATTGTGTTGGCCATTTTCCGCTTTTCCATACCAGATTACAAATTTTATGCAGTATCTCGATTGTGTCTCCTCCACCAAACTTGAGTAGTTCCGACGGTATGTTGTCGAAACTGGCAGCTCTACCATACTTCAAAGATCTCACAGCTTCTTCGATCTCACTCTTTAGGATATCAGGCTCACATTCTTCTTGACCTGGGCCTTCTCGCTCCAGCACAGCCGCAATGTCATCACTCGTTGCGATCGGGTAGCTGTAGAGTTCTTGGATGTATTCTGTCCATCTCTTTTCGATTTTTGTTACCTCAGTTAGCAACTCCCCATTAGCATCTTCTATCACTGAGACTCTTGCAGTCTTCTCGTTGGTTAGTTCCTTGACTACTCTGTAAGCAGTCCTAGAATCATTTCTTTCGAATGCTGTTGTGACTTCTACACACTTCTTCTGCACAAATTCCTCTTTCGCCTTCTTAATTTCTCTCCTCACTAAATTGTTGGCAGCTCTGTATTTTTTGTTACATTCCTCGTCTTTGAATTTGTCTGCTTTTAGTCTTTATCTTTCATCACATTTCTCCATTATTTCATTTGTCATCCAAGGTTGTTTCTTCTTTTTTTCCTTTCCAAGTGTTTCCATCGCAACTTCATTCATTCCTTCAGTGAACAAGTCTGTAATCTGTTGCATTTCAGTCATTTCCAATAGTGGTGCAAATTTTCCACCTATTTTAATTCTGAAGTTTTCTAATGTCTCTGCATCGCTCAGTCGACTTGTGTCATATTTCACTCTGGAAGATGGTGGTCTTCGTATCTTTTTTAATTTCAACTTCATTGTTGTCATTACAAGAGTATGATCACTGCCTATGTCGGCTCCTGGGAAGGATCTTGTCTTGTGACCATTAACGCTGCTGGAGCATTGTCTCTCAACCAGGATGTAGTCGATCTGGCTTTTAGTGATGCCGTCTGGAGCAACCCATGTCACTCTTCTTGATTTCTTGTGCTTGTACTTTGTGTTGACAATGACCATGTTATGTAGCTTAGCAAACTCCAGCAACCGTAGACCTCTCTCGTTAGTGCTTCCGAGTCCAAACTTACCAGCTGTTCCTGGCCATTCTTCATGAGCATCTGGTCCCACTCTAGCATTCCAATCACCCATCACTATGAGGATGTCCTTCTTCGGGATGTTTCTCATTGTCGCCTCTATTTGGTTGTAGAAAATCTCGAGATCTTCTTCGTTGCAATCTGAGGTTGGAGCATACACTTGAATGATAGACAGGTTTCTCGGCGCTGTCTGTAGCCTGATCCGTATGATTCTGCTTGATATCGGTTCGCATTCCATCACCATGTTCACAGTCTCTTTATGTACGATGAAGCCTACTCCTGCTTGTTTCTTCAATTTGTCGCCACTCCACCATACTTTGTGCCCGTCGTCAGAGACTGTTTCACCATTATTTAGCCATCTCATTTCCGCAATGCCCAGCACGTTCCATTTGTAATTTTCCATTTCATGTTCCAGCTCGTTCAGCTTTCCAGGTGCCGATAGTGTTCTCACATTCCACGTACCAATGGTGACTTCTTGCTTCGCAATGTTAAGGTTCCCGCCAGTAACATACTTTCCGCCTGATGCGCCCTGGTGAGAACCGACGCCAGACGCGGCCGTTGTTGACCCGGGCCCCGACCGATCCGGTATGGTATTAGAATTTGGTGTACTCATCATTGTGTTACGGTGGAGATAATCCGGTGGTTTCCATCCCCTCTCCGGATATGGATGGCCATTGGCTCCGTGGAGCTCATCCGCCCTTTGTCAGGTCTTGTTTTTTGTCCTGCGGGGTGTCCACACACCCACCTCACAAGATCACCAGAGTGACCAAGTGGGGGAGCCGGTTTAGTCGCCGACGACCCGACCATGGAACAGGTTGTACTGGTTTACATGTTACCAGTAGCAGGCGAACCTGACCTGACATATACTTGACAAAACAATAGACAAGTGTCCGCCACTGACCCAGACAATAGACTTGACAAAACAATAGACAAGTGTCCGCCACTGCTCACAATGGCTAATTAATGAAATCTTTTCTCATTTTCGTTTTCTGTAAAACTTATCTTCTTGAAAAGGTCGTATGGAATTGAGATATTTCTCTAGTTAAGCAGTAAAATGCCAGAAATATTTTTGATAAATTAGATGACACTTGTTATGGTAACAAGTGGTTACGCAAAATAGCATAGCTTTATGTGTCAAGAAAAAATAGTAAAATTCGTGCCTCATATAATAAGCAATTGTTTAGGCCGTTTTCAATGGATCATGTGAGAATGCTTTTACCTGAAGTGAAAATCTATTAATTTTTCTCCATCTACAGCACAGATGAGATGACTGATACAGAGTTTGAAACCTTGGTAAAGGCAGTGATTGACATAATTCTCAGCAGCGCAGAATGTCATGACATAGAATGGGAAAGCAAAGACTGCACAATAACCCATTTCACAACTAGGGATGACAGCATGTACACCTTCATAAAGGAAGAAGAGGTCTCTTCTATGCAAGACAATACTTTAATCTGTAACGAATCCATGGAATGCAAAGCACTGAGTGATGGAGCAGTCAAGGCAATTAGCTGGACCTGTCAGAATGGGCACCAAGGAAGTTGGACATCATCAGAAGTACTTTGTGTCCATCATAATAGTGATGTCTTTGTCAATGACCTTTTGAATCCGATTTATGTTTTACTTTCTTTACTTGTCCCTGACATTACTACATTCAGTCGCACTCAAAACTTTTTTGGTGCCCCGGAAATCACTGAGTTGTGGGAGGCAATGAAGGAAAATGTAATCAAAACCCTAAATGATTTTGATGAGATCTGCTTGTGTGGGGTTGGCAGGAATGATTCTCCTGGTCACAGTGCCAAATTTTGTAGTTATGTGGCAATGGAGCAATTCACAAAAGTGATTGTTGACCTTGAGGTTTTGGACGTGAGAGAAGTTGGTTCCTCCACAAACATGGAAAGAGAGGGCCTTACAAGGATATTGGGGAGATTGAGCAAGAAGTTGAATGTGGCTGAAATTGTTACAGACGCATCTTGTGCAATAATAAAAAGAGTGAAAGAAATATCTGAAAAAACAGAAACCTAGAAAATCTTGGCCACTCTCTAGATATATGGCACAAAGCCAAATCTATAAATAAATCTCTGCACAAGATGGCAAAGGCAAAGAAGAATTGCAGCAGTGTATTGAACCTATTGTTAATCACTTTTGGTATTCTTGTGCACAAAGCAAGGGTGATACAGCCCAGTTGAAGATGATTCTATCTGTTAACCATTTTGATAAGTACATCATTAAAATTTTGATAAGTACATCTTTAAAACACATAAATTTATATGATACCTTTCAGCAGTGACAGATACCTTTGGGGAGAGGTAGCAAAGAGGGATGGTTGCCCCCAAATATTTTGAAAGGTAATGGTTTTTTGTAATAGATAATTTCACAAATGAAGTGCCATTTTCACAAGAAAATAGACAATATGCTCCTCTCCCGATATATCCAATGACCACTGACCCCCCACTGCCTATCATGGTCAAGCATAAGAAGTTTCTAATATGGTTTTGTGGCCTGGTAAAATACATCACCTATTGTTAATTTAATAGTATTACTTTGCCATTTTTGTAAGAGTTCAATTTTGTAACAGCAATGTTGGTTTGGAGTTCTTCATCATGTCTGTGGTGAGCATCAATGTGGTCTTGGGGAGTGTCAACATGAACAGTTGACAGCAGATGAGCCTAAAACCTACCTTGAAAAATCCAGTGAAGTGTTAGAGTCACTGCGGCAGGTTATTTGTGACAAAAAGTTGGTTGGAAGTCTCCACTATTACACAAAGTTCAGGTAAATTTTACTTAAAGTTAAAATATCCAATAAATTGTTGTTTTCAACTTTATTAACATTCTCTGAACATTATTTGGAGCATATATGTGGCAAACCTCATGCTGTAAATCATACATCAGACTTTTGCTTCTTCTCTAGTCATTTATTTTTGTCTTCTCAAGGAACTATTATAAAAATTCTAAAAATATGCTTTACAGTTCTTTATTCAATAACAAGGTGCATAAAATAATTAGGATTCTGACTTATATTGAATTCATTCTATGAAATTCATTCTATCCAATTAATTGAAATTTTATCAGTGTATATTTAATGTAATGGGCAATTAAACATATCAACTTGCTTCACACTGATCATTACTTTTATTCACTTTGCAAATGATGAACAAGTCAAAATAATGAACAGTTTGCTGAACTTACCAAGTGCCAAGATGACTAAAGAAAACAACCTTCAACATAGCCTAAATTTATCTAAATTTTGAATTTTTTTAAATTTGATTTTTAAAATTCCATTGACTGATAACTTTTTCCATTACAGGCATACAAGTTACATTGAAAGCTTTAACAGCATGTTAACAAAATAAGTCCCTAAATGTATCGCCTTTCAAAACTCAGCTTTCGTTGCTCGTACCTTATTGGCAGCTATAGACCACAATATGCACTGTTCAAGAGAGCTGGCATTTACAAAAAGCGGAAAGCAAGTTTTCAAGCGGAAGTATTCAAAGAGAACAAAAAGATGGCACGCACAGCCTGTAAAAGATGTTAAAGAATACAAATACATCCCTTACCTAATTGCACGAATGCTGAAAAGACGAATAAAGGATTTAGAACCAATGACAAGAAAATTCAATACCCTTGAGCAGGACCCAAAGGAACTTCATGCAACAATATAGAAGGTTTTTGACAACTCAAACAAAGGAAATGAAAATAATTCATTGTAACTATATTATTTTTATACAATACAGAGAGAGAGTCTGCTCTACATGCAAGGCTGCTCTTAACTGTATCTAAATCCCATGTACTGGTCATTTAGGTCAGGATATGCTGCTCTAATTCGGGCAACAATGCAAGAAAGAATGACCCTTCTATTTCAAAAGCCCAATTTCCCATTCTGCCAAAGCGTAAACTGCCTATATGCAGCCTTGCGATAGGAGTTTGTTGTAAACTCTATGTCCTCTGCAAATGTGTCTGCATGTGCCTTTATGTTTACTTCAAGGATATCACGATCCAGGCAAACCTTTCTAAATGTATGGAAACTTGAAACACATTGGCATTTTCTGCAACAAACTCTTTCATCAGCTGTAGGCATTTGGACACATTTTGTGCAGCTGCACTATGGCAAACTATTTCCAATTGGTGCATCATCAGTTACAACAACATGGTCATTTTTAATCACTATCAGGATATCTTTTAAATTTGCCAGGCTCCCTACACCTTCAGCAGACAGCTCAACTATGATATTTTCAAGTTCCTCCCTTTCCAAACTTCTTGTAAATTCCTATGTCAAAAAATATTTATAAAATTTTCAATAAAATCCAGCAAACAACAAAGAAATTTATCATAAAATTTGATTCTCCCAAGTAAAGAAGAAATTAGCACAAGACGTATTTGGAACATCAAAATACCACTGTGCCATTAGCCCTTTCCTTAAAATGTTATCTTATCATCTTTTCATTCAATGACAAACAACTTATACCCATTCTTTTACCCAAATTCTATCTTAAGTGAAACAAATCTGTCTTTTTTGTATACATTGAACAATTCTGATAACACAATGACTGTCCCCCAAAACAAGACTCAACTTGCACTTTTGATACAACTCAAAGTAGATCATTCTACAATGGTTTTCTTTTCTTGTTTGAATTTTTTTTGAATAATTTTATAAACATTTAATACTTACTTTTACTTCATCTCTTGCCATGGTAATTTCTTGCTCCATTAAAATGTTGCCAGTTTCTTTGCCAATATGTGTATGCCTTTCTTGTCTCAAATCCTAACAAATCAAAAGGAAACTTATTTACCTAATATCATCAAATTATATTCTGCAAAATATTGTCAAAAGAAAATCAAATGTATCTATATTCTTACCTATCATCAATTAAATATCATACTATTCAGAACAGAACATCTATAGTAAATACAAAAGTGAAAAGAAAAGGTAAAATTAACATTTGTTTAATTAATAATTTCACAAACACACCCTATTCCTGCAAGGTTTCCCTTTGTTCCCACATTTGCAATTGTCGGTACAAGTTCGGCCAGCATGCTTACAGGAGCATCCGCGCTTTTTCTTCTACTTCCTTGAGCAAGTATTATTGAAAATACAATATAATGTTTCCTATAAGGAGATAATGTCAATTTTAGTTTTTAAAATAGTAAAAATGACAGCATTAGACCCTTTACCATCCTATTTGTGTTTGTGCCTACCCGATTTTTATGCTCTTTCAATTGGGACAATGGGAAATTTTCCACGAAGCTAATCAAACAAGAAGTATTGCTGAATTTGATGAATTCAAGATTTAAAAGCTATCCAACCCATGGATAAAAAGGGATTACTTAAATCAATTGCAGCTTCTGTGTTTGGGTTATCTGTTGCTCCTTGTTGTGGTGTCGCTGCTTCGATAGTAGGCCTGCGACCCGTGTCCATGTTCCTCTCAACAAAACTTTCATTTTTGTTAGCGCTAAAGTACAATTGCTGTCGCCTGTGCTCTTCTATTCTCTCTCTTCGCTGCTCCTCGATTTCCAATCTTGACAACTCGCCTGAATTACCGTCTACATTGATACCAGAAATTTCCTATCGAATTCTCCTCGCCATTTTTGTCTCACATAGAAAAACAGTGAGAAAAAAAACAAATGTGAGCACGCAAAGGCTGCTGGTTGCACAGGCCCCTTTAACAGAAGCCATCAAAAATTCATTAGACAATAGAAAATTTGGTTGTGGAATATTTATTGATTTGCAGGAGGCATTTGATACAGTGAATCATAATATTCTTTTGATGAAGCTAGAGCATTATGGAATTAGGGGAACTGCTTTAGATTGCTTCAAATCCTATCTTTCAGGTAGGAAGCAATATGTGTCAGTGAATGGATCTAACTCCAGTCATCTCAGTGTTAGCTGTGGAGTTCCACAGGGTTCTGTCCTTGGTCCTCTCCTTTTCTTACTTTACATTAATGATTTACCTCTTGCATCTTCTAAACTATCCTTTTACTTATTTGCTGATGATACTAACATCTATTATGAAGCTGAAAGCCTTAAACAGCTTCAAAGTGTAGTTAACAAGGAACTAAAAAAAGTGAAGTTATGGCTTGATGTTAACAAGACAGTTCCTTAAAGGGGAACTGAAGTGAAAAACGATTTTTTACCATTGATAAAGGTTCCCGTGCTGATTCCAAAACCGTTTGAATTTTTTTAATACGTTATGTAGTTTTTGAGTTATTAAGTTTTTAGAGTCGAAATTTGCCCTTATCGATGGCGGAGCGAGAACGCGGTCAGACCACTGTGTCATGTGACCTTGTGACGTAAAGTGGTGGACACGAAGAGATGTTTGATGTAATGTAGTAGTGAGTTTGATAAGGTTCATGACAGGTAACAATCGTGAACATTGTGATAAAAGCATGAAACTTGGTGAAAATACAGAGTTCGATATGCTTAACAAGACAGAATTTAGAACCATTTTGGGGAAGAAACCCTTCTGCTATTTTTAGCCTGGGGTACTTGTGCCCAGTACTCAAAATATGTTAGTATGGTCAATCTATTTCTGTTAACTATACAGCCATGAAACTTGGCAAACCGACACAATTTGACTTGTTGAAAATGATAAAAATGGTCCCCACCCTCAAAAATACCCCTTTTGCTATTTTTAGCCTGGGTACTTGTGCCCAGTACTCAGAATATGTTAGTATGGTCAATCTATTTCTGTTAACCATACAGCCATGAAACTTGGCAAACCGACACAATTTGACTTGCTGAAAATGATAAAAATGGTCCCCACCCTCAAAAATACCCCTTTTGCTATTTTTAGCCTAGGTACTTGTGCCCAGTACTCAGAATATGTTAGTATGGTCAATCTATTTCTGTTAACTATACAGCCATGAAACTTGGCAAACCAACACAATTTGACTTAGTGAAAATGATAAAAATGGTCTCCAACCTCAAAAATACCCCTTGTGCTATTTCTAGAGTGGGGTATTTGTGCCCAGTACTCAGAATATGTTAGTATGGTCAATCTATTTCTGTTAACTATACAGCCATGAAACTTGGGAAACCTACACAATTTGACTTGCTGAAAAAGATAAAAATGGTCCCCACCCTCAAAACTACCTCTTATACTATTTTTAGACTGGGTACTTTTGCCCAGTACTCAGAATACTTAACTATACAGCCATGAAACTTGGCAAACCCACACAATATACTTGCAGAAAATGATAAAAGTGGTCCTCCACTTCAGAAATACCCCTCAGAAATGGGGGTCCTGTGCCCAGCACTCAGAAGACAAAACTAATGTTGATCCATTTCCGTTAGCTGTAAAGCCATGAAACTTGCTGAACCTACACAATTCGATTTGCTGAAAAAGACGAAAGTAGTCCCCAATCTCAGCAATACCCCTATAACATGATTTCTCATGTTTTGTCTATAGAACATGATATCAAAGCATTTTCTGATGTAACTCCAGGCAGAAAAAACAATTAATACCAGAATGTACATAAAGGGGGAGGATTTGAAGCACAACCATTAAATGGTGTATATGTTTCCAAGTTCATTAAAAGACCTTATCTTAACAAAAGATATGTCAGAGATTTTATCTCATAACTGTTCTCTGTGAAAAATGTTGAGTTGAAGCAAATTTCAGAAAAATATAACCATTAGGCGCCAAAAAACTTCATTCTCAAAATTGAAAACAGTGTATCCAAACAACAGGCAGTGACAGAATACATTAAAAGAACATTGAACCCTGAAGGTAAAACATTTTCCTCTGATTATTTATAAAAAATGTTACCAAGCAGGTGGTACAGGACCATTATTGTAAGAGAAATACTTGATCAAATCCAATCTATTCTACATATTTGATGTGAGTGAAATATCTTAAACAATACACCTTAGGAATCTTAAAAATATCAAGCTTTGCTCAATCCCCCCCCCCCCTTGATGTGACTAATCTAGTGATTTGGCCGTAGCCCCACTAGTTTCAACAAATTTCTAACTTATAACATGACCCCACTAGTTCTATACTTCTCTTCTTGTTATTATGAAGTAAAAGTCTGGTCCCTTTGAATAACCCCTGTATATAACCCTGTCATGTACTCCACTGTATATGTAGTAGGTAGCTGATTCTCATTGTCTCTCTGCAGAATTTTGAAATCCTTGTCTTCTTTGACTAAAGTTCTTTACATTTGTGATAAATGCATACTTAAAGCTGTCCAGTTATTCCAGCACAAATACCCAAAAGAACCAGCAAACTATCCATTGATCAGCCACTGTTTGTGGATACCTAGCAAAGGGGATATAATTTTAGGTATCAATCTATTTTAGGCATATTTATGCAATTCTATCAAATATTAGACATTTTCGAATTATCAGTCCAAAAATCTGAATTGTAGTAAGATTTAATATACTTGTCAATGTACATAAAACAAACCAGTTTTTAAACCAAAAGTGGATTAGGTCGACCTGTTCCGTGCTACACATCAAACCATGTATAAACGTTTTTATATCAAAGAAAATATTTATTAAATTGTAACATGTAATAATCCTTATTACTTCAGATTTTAGAAATGGAAAGATTATATTATATAGCCTGCTCATTCTCTGTTATCTTTCTTTTTATAAGGAAATAAGGAAATTGAGTTTGAGTATTTCTTGCCTTCATTGCAAGAAAAGAAACAAGGATCGACGTACCATTTACTTACTCCCTCATTTCTACCCACAAAACGAGCAGGTCGCGGGAGATAATTCATCCTCATCCTCTGGGATCTCATATCGGTCCTAGGCTAATCTTCACCGCCACTTTCGCAGTTTCCGTTCGCCCTTGGTAGGGCAAGTACTTCACCACCACATGCTCCAAACACTTCATCATCGCTTGATCTTAAGTCTGTTGTCATTCCTGAAGAGCTGTCGTGAAAATTGCGAACTGAAATTCTAACTACTAACAGAATTCCCTCCCTCCGATTCACTCTACTACACTGTGGTTTTTGTTAGGTTCGGGGCACCTGTCCAGGACTTTACGTCAGCGCCTGAAACTTGTCTCCAGACCTCTCCGCCACAGAAATGGAGAAATTTCACACTTTGCGCGTTAAATGCAGGAAAACGAAAAGAAAAACACTAATTTTGTGTCGATATTCGAAATCAGCATGATGAAAACTACTAATTAAATGATTTTAATTTTTCACTTCAGTTCCCCTTTAAGTCTCCTCAGCATACTTCTCCTGAATTCCTGAATCTGTAAATATCAAAATTGGAAAGCTTCCTATCAAGCAGAGTTGTTATGTCAAATTTCTTGGTGTTCTCTTAGATGAAAGCCTTTCATGGACGTCTCTCTTGACTGAACTGTCTAAAAAATTGGCCATAACGTGTGGTATGTTTTTCAAAGTGAGACACTTCTTACCCATTCATGTTTTGGTCTGTCTTTACAACTCTTTGTTTTCAACTTTCCTCCAATATGGTATTTTAGTTTGGGGTCTTACTTATGAGACACATATCAATCCGGTGTTGTTGTTACAGAAAAGGGCCATAAGGGCAATTTCATTAAAACACTTTACTGCACCTTCTACACCCATCTTTTCAGACCTGAAGATTCTAAAACTACAAGATCTCTTTCACCTGAAATTGCTTAGTTTTGTATATGAATGTGTAAATAAAATCTCTCCTTCTTGTTTTCACTCTTTCTTTTAGTTAGTTGAGTCTTAGGTCAGTGCGTTATTGTGGAGCTAAATACTGGAATGACACTCCTGTGGAAATAAAACAATCTCCATCTGTTTATAGTTTTCGTCAAAAAATCAAAGCTTTCCTATTTGAAACTAATCACTAAATTTTGGAAAAGTGGATATCAAAAATGTCACCATATTCCCATCAAATAGTTTTGTCAACATCATAATGTCAATTAAAGAAATCAATTTTATATGAGATACTTTTATAATAGGGGGTGGTCTCTCCTCGATTAATCTAACTACTGAGAGAGCTCCTCCTGTAAGTAATTCCCTCCATACAATCTATCTTGTGTCTATGTTTTGTATTGGTATATTGTATTAATTTCTTGTATTTTAGATGTATGCTTGTCTTGTTATTGATAAATTGTATGTAGTGGAATTTAAAAAGTGAAAACTGAACTGAACACCTGTAAATTAAATATGGTAATATTTATTTGGGTTGGGTCAAAATATGAGTAAATAAAAATATTTTAGTTTGGTACCAAGTAAGGAAGTTTAACTAATAAGTATTACTATAGTTCAAACCATTAAAATAAAATAAAGTAGAGCAATAGTAAAACCTTGTGGTACTAGAGGTTCTACATTGGGGTTTCTTTTGAAGGTTTCTAACAGCAAGTAAAGATAATAATACGCATAGATTTTTGTGTCAACGAGTATAAATTTTTTGTGTCATACACATTATAAATTGTTTGTGTTTAGGTTTTCCTAGGCTCAACTGTTCCTGGTGTGCTGCAAATATGTGGTTTAAAATTAAAAAAATGAAAGATGACTTGAACCCAAAATAGCAAATGGCAGAGGTATGACAGTTATAGGTTCTAAATATTTTATAAGTATCTACTTTTTCTTTTATCAATCATTTAACTACCTTATGTGCTTACCACTCAATAACTGTATCTGCTTCATCTACACAAATTTCTGATATTCTCTGACCAAAACACCCTTCTAAAAGTTCCCTTCTCACTTCTGCTGACAGCAATTTCTCTGCTGACCCGAACAGGATATCAACATCATCTTGCCTCACTGCTTCTACAAGGTCACGTACTCTAAGGTCCTTAATAGAAGAGGGGGACGCTTATTAATTTTTTGATTTTTTTCTGAACCCCCCCCCCCCCGGAGCTTATTTGGACCCCCCTGTTTATTAATTTTTATATGCAGTCATTCATATCCCTTATTTCATTTGTCCTTTGATCTTGCAGGTGTGAAATTTCTTTAAAGTTTCTCTTAAATGAAGAGGTTGCATTGTACAAAAGTTTTAACATAGAAAAGTGATGACATCCTAAAAAAAATTTAAAAGGTCTGACTGATGTACACAATGATAAATAGTCTGCTCATTTTAGTAATACAACAATACATTATTACATGGTGATAATTGTCATTTTGCTATTGATTGTATTCAGAAGAAAATCTCCTTCGACCCCAAAAAAGAATCATCACACGTTTATTCAGATTTTTCACATTTCGGACCCCCCCCCCCTTTTATTTATTTTTTGAAAAATTTCTGACCCCCCCCCCCCAACTACCAAGACCCCCTCTTCTATTAAGGACCTTAAAGACCAGGCGAGGAAAGGGGGGTATCGTCACCCATCGAGGGAATTTGCAAGACCTACTCCATTTGGTCAATTTTGATACGCTGATTACGAATATCGATGTTATACGGGGAAATTCGGTATACGGCGGAATAGACCTTTTTCCTGTTGCGGCCATCATCTTTCCGCGCAATGCATTGTGGGATTGCCAGGGGGCAAACAATCTGCACTGCAGTTTTCTTGCTCCGCAGGTAAATAAGTGCTTCGCTTCAGGATTTGTTAAAGTTTACTCAAATTTTGCTCGCTTTCCTTATTTTACTTCGACGTTATGGGTAAATCTGATCATTGTGCTGTTTGGGGCTGTGATAATGATCGCAGATATCCTGACAAGTATGTAATTAAAGAACACATTTCAGCATTTGATGGATGCAAGCACATTCGTTTTTGGTCATGCAAAGAGAAATTCTTCCGTACGTGGTCAAAGCTCATCAACAGGGAGGTTATCGACAAAACATCTGGCAAAAAAACTCTTTTGAAAGTTGGGAAATCAACAAAGGTATGTTCCAACCACTTTCAATACGGAAAGCCAACAGATTCCTGTCCGCACCCCACATTATTTTTGAAGGGGTATGATGGGCCTAGTCAACCAAAAAGAAGGCGACTGGATCGTTCAGATCTTTTCAAGCCGACACACAGTGAAGCAACACCTGTTAACATCAGTGAAGCTGTATAAATTGATAATTTTCACGTGTCAGAAGTCATTGCTGAAGAAAATGCTGATAACCATCCTGTTCATGAATCTGTTGATATCCCTCAAAGTGGCTTGATACCCCATCATAAAATTATATACAGGTTGCCCCACTGCCAAAGTTTTTTTGTTCATTGTGGATCGTGTCAGATCAAAGCATGGCAAGATCTCTTATTTTAAAGGCAAGAATTCATTCCAGGTTAAAAACTACCAGCACAGCCCATCAAAGCCTTTGTCAAGAAAAAAGACTGGACCATCCCTCCAAATCAAACTGGAAGATGAAATTCTTTTAACCCTGATGCGCATTCATCTGGACCCTCCAATTGAAGACCTTGCTTTTCGATTTAAAATTTCTGCTAGCCATGCATCAAAAATATGTACAACCTTTTTTGTGTTGTTGGCACGAGAGCTGGAGCCACTCATTTATTGGCCAACACCAGAAGAAACTCTAGCATTCAACCACCCCCACTTTTCTGGGGACTTTAACAAGGTTGAAGGCATTGGTGATTGCACTGAACAAATTATTCAAAAGTCTGCAAATTCCAAGGCTCAGTACCAAACATACAGCACATATAAGAGCAGAAATACCCAAAAGAAATTAATATTCTGTACAAAAGGAGGATCAATTAGTTTTGTGTCAAGGTCCTATTCTGGCTCTGCTTCAGATCGTTTTATCACAGAAGACTCCAATGTTGTGCAGAAATTTCATCCTGGGTTTATTGCTATGTTTGACAAGGGTTTCACAGTTCAGGATATATTTCTTCCCAGGCAAGTTAAAGTTAAAGTGCCACCCTTCGTTCGAAGCAAAAGACAGTTTACACCCTCAGAAATATCTGAATGTAAACGAATTGCAAGAGCAAGAATTCACATTGAGCGTGTTATGGGAAGACTGAAGGAATTTAGACTACTGGATCATACTTTACCTCTAACCTTGTTAGATATAATTGATGAGGTCTGGTTAATTGCAGCTGCTATTACCAATTTGCAGCCACCACTTGTAAAAGGACAGCCTCGTGACTAGCCTCAAGTTTAAAGTAGTTCTTAATTGCTTATTTTGAAGTTATTTCTATGCAGGGTTTTACTGTAACTGTTAAATTTATCCGAAGCTGTGACCAGGTATGAATATGAACAAACATGAATATATAACGTTAATAGAACAAAATCAGCCCTAATACAACGGCTAACATATTCGAGAGTAAAATAGCGTGGTAAGCGAGTTATCTAAGAGTCCATTGTCCAATAAGCTTCAACATAACGTAACACGTGACTACAGCAAGCATAAGATAATAATAATCATATATTCTAATAGTAACGAGTCTCCTATCTCCAATAAAACTGAAAAGAACTACAACTTAAAGCATATGTTTAGTTATATTAGTAATAATCTTGAGTCTAACTTTTGAAGTTCCTTTTGTGCTTCTTCACTATCCAGTCTATCTTCAACCTTTCGCAAAAGTCCTTTCATTACATTTCTGCATGCAACAACATTTTCTATTGTCCCTGAAAATAGCTCAGGTAGCACAATGCTTTTAAAAAAATGGACAAGTTTTGGAACCTGTTTTATTTCATACTGTGGATTTCTTGGAATTCTTACAGTCAATGACTCTTTGGGCAAAAAAACTTCAAAATCACAATATTCTGCGCCAGTGACAAACATCTGATGTTGAACTTGTGTGTAGTATTTATGTGCAGGCTTCAAAAATATTTCATCAGCATTCTTTGACAAGCATGACTCTGGCTGCATGAGATAGTCTGCAATATTTAAATCACGGCTCTTCCATGGGCATTTTATTTCTAAAACACCGAATCCACAGCATTTGCAGCTTATAACTCCATCAGGGCTGGCTCCCAGAAAAGGCAACTGTTCAGAAATGAACAAACCAGTAGTTTTACTTGAAAAGTGTTTGTGCTTTGTTCTGTTCTTTCTGGTGTACCTTTTGAAGGCAAACTTTTCATTATTCTTCCCCCAGTTTAATGATGCACTATGAACAGAAGGATTATACATGCAAATTTTTGCACATAGATTTTGGGATGATGATAAATTTAAAATTTGATGGTTGTCATCAACTTTTACCAAAACTTCATGTGCAGAAGATGCTGTTATTACACCATGACGATACTGGAACCATTTTTCTGAGGATGCTTGATCAGCAGTTATTGCATTTATTCTTTTCAATTCAGCAGCAGACCGGTGTAATTTCAATGCTGCATGAAAACTATCAGCTTGACACTTAGAAGCAATCTCAGGCAATGTAGAAGGGGGCAGAACAGTTTGGGAAGAGGATTTTGAGGAACTCTTCGTTGTTGTTTTAACAAATTGGAGAACACTTGCTTTTCCATCAGTAGCCTCTGCAACAGCTTCCCAGTCAGCTTTGGTAAAGGCAACATTTAAATCTTGGATGGAACGGGGCTCATATTCACTTCTTGATGGGGTTTGAATGCAGTCATCATTTTCTGGATGATGATGCAAAATTTTAACAGAAGACATTTGACTAGGCTCGTGGATTTTTTCATTCTTCTTGTATGTTCTTACACTCCATTGCTGTTTCTTGCCAGTACAAGACCTGTTGTTGCCAAGTCTAACTTCTGCAAGGATGTAATATAGCAAAGCAAATACATGCTTGCATGAGTTACTGTAACCAGCCACGCATCCACATTCACTAGCCAAAATGGAAGAGGCATCTGTCCGTAGACTAACCCAAACAGTATAAGGAGCATCAGATATACGTGTCTGAGGCACAACCAATGCTTTTATAAAGCAATATTTAATACAATCTGTAATTCTATTAAAAAACACTGACTTTACATGTCCAGATGTCTGAAGGTTCTGTCCTTCCTTGGAGGCTTTCAAGGATTCCATTGCTTCTGCATATTTTTTATAAAATCAAATGTAAGGTCAGGATAGTATTCACTTCCTTCGAGCCAGTGGGAGCCAATTGTCTCAGGAAAGGGTAACTGCACGCCATCAACGAATAAAATTTTGCTCCGGTTGAGGTCAATTTCAGATTTTCGAACAGCTTGAGAAGGCAATGTTGGAAGTTCGAGCTTTTCAGCAAAAATAACTTTTTCAATAAGCTGTGGTTTTCTGCAGTTCTTAGTGTTCAAGGGCACACCTCTGTCTGACAGATACTTCTTAAGATCTTCTACCTTCCAAACTCGCAATTCTTCTTCAGTAAAAACCATTT